AAGATTCATTTCTTCATCGCAAGCCAACTGCTTCATTACATGCTCACCTGAAGAAAACAATCTGATCCAACGCTGGAGGGAAAGACCGGCTGCTTCGGGTCTCTGAACCAAGAAATGGTATGTGGGTCTCCAACAGAGTGTCTTTCCCAGAAGATATTTATTTCTACAGTAATTTTTCCCAAATCCAATTTTCAAGTTACACTTTGACTTTGGAACCCAATCCTGGTTTTAGAGCTTTCTTCAATAAATATTTGTTAAACGGTGAATGAATTGGGTACCTCTCATGTGTAAAAGTTTTCTCTTAGCAAATAGCAAAGTGCTTCACATAAGTGAGATCTCCAATAGATGTGGGTTAAAATATTTATTGCAAATATTTACTCTGGTTTCTAAGTGCCCTTATGATGAGCCACTAGGTACACTTTGAGGCCTAGTAAAGTGACCGCTCATTCACTGTGGGTTTTGCAAGGCACGTTGAACTTCTAGAAAAGTATATGTACCTTGAGGTATTTAGGAAAACTTTGGCCCAATTTGTTCCTCTCAGTACTTGCATAAATTCCTGCGCTCTGCCTGTGCCTCTCTCTCTGTCTTTGGTAAATTATCATTAGTACATTATTAAACTAATACAGGCTCTTGGTAAATGGTAAATAAAGGAGGAAAGTGAACATAAAAGTTCTCTGAACTCTTCCACCTCCAGGCAGCATTTCACACTCTCCAAAAATAACCACTGCTAACATTTTGGTGTATCTTTCCTCAATATTCTATGTATTTACAAACATATGTGAATATGAATGTATATTCCATATATATATATATATTTGAAACAAATAGGATCATATTACTCTCATTCTGCAACATGCTTTCACTTAATATATTTTGAAACTTTTAAAATATCAGCATATAAGCCCTGGCTGGTGTGGCTCAGTGGATTGAGCGTTGGCCTATGAACCAACGGGTGGCCGGTAGATTCCTGGTCAGGGCACATGCCTGGGTTGCAGGCCAGGTCTCCAGTTGCGGGCATCCAAGAGGCAACTGGTAGATGTTTGATGTTTCTCTCACACATCGAAGTTTCTCTCCCTCTCTAAAAATAAATAATTTTAAAAAAAGTCAGCACATATATAGCTTTCTTTTAAGCAAACTCTTAAATATGTATTCCAAAGTATGAATTTACAATTTAACGACTTCTCTTTGAGGATTATCCTAGGTTATTCTGATTTAGCATTACAAACAATGTTGCATATGTGTATATCTTTGTACATATCATGCAGGTATATCTGAAGAGCAAATGCTTAGCAGGGGAATTGCATGGTTGCCCTGAGCTTTATTATCAACTGAAGGGTATGTATTTTCAGGATATATAATGTTTATAGTTCATTGGAAGTTGCTAGTAAACACAAGGTCACATGGATCTCCACAGCCTCTTTTGTCAAGAGACCTTTGACAAAAGGTCTCTTTGAAAGAAAGGTCTTTGTCTTTATTGTTAGTAGATCCTTTTGCCATCTACATTTCACTGGTAATTAGCAGTCATCCATGACCTTCTCCTGAAATTGAAGACAGCTTTTCTAGAGACTAAAAGGGTCATCGCCATATTTAACTCAAAATTTAATCTAAGAAACTAATATATTTTCACAATTCTGTGATTATCTTAAAATAGAGCAATGATGCTAATATTGCCACCAAAAATTGGCTGGCCTGACAGCAGTTTGCCCATTGCTTGCTGCTGATCGATGCGACAATGTTTATTCTCTCCCATTTCCCCAAAGGATCTGAGACGGCCTTCTCGGCAAGAGCAAGTGCTTCAAAATGAAACACCGTCAACAGAATATAGGACCAAAGGCAGGCAGTAAAAGGGAGAGTGGGAGGAAATTATTTTTCCAAGAAACTAGCTTAAGAAAGGCCCAAAACTTATTTCTGACCTTCCCAGCAGACAAGATAGAGAAAGAGGCTGAGTTATAGACCTTGCCATGTTCTAACACAGAGAGTCTCAGTCCTATTAGACACAACGAGGTTTTTTTATATAACAAATATTTTGTAATACCTTGTTATTACCCTGAACTGAGTTTATGGATAATATGGCTTATCTACCTATACTATTTAGAAATGAATATAAACTCATCAGCCTGGCATAATAGAGAAGTTATAGGTAAGTAAAATAATACATATTTTAATATGTACATGTCTGGGCCTGACTGTGCTGGAGGGGGAGTGGGCTCGCCGCGTCCTTATAGGAAGAATCCCAGTGAATGCAGCCTGTGCTGGCTGCTCAGCTGCCACCAGCCTCACTGTGATGAGACAGTTTCTGAAATTCTTTTCTTTAAGATTTTATTTATTTATCTTTAGAGGGGAAGGGAAGGAGAGAAGGAGAGAAATATCAATGCATGGTTGCCTCTCATGCGTCCCATGCTGGGAACCGGCCTGCAAGCCAGGCATGTGCCCTGACTGGGAATCCAACCGCGATCCTTTGGTTTGCAGGACTGCGCTCAATCCACTGAGCTACACCAGCCAGGGTGAGTTTCTTAAATTCTTAATAAAAATAATGTACTATTGCCCCAATTTACTTGGAATTTAATTCTTAGGAAATGAAATGATATTAAGTTGAGCAAATACTTCTTTGTTTTTGCATAAAGTAGACTTTTTTCTAGGCTTATAAGCAGTCTTTTTTTCTTAAATGCTTATAAACAGTCTTTTTTCTTAGAAGCCTGATCAGATGTGAGAAATGGTACAAAATGTATGGCAACCTTCACTGGGTAGAACTGTTCTGAACACTGCAGGCTGCTGAAGACCCCTCATTTCTGTTCACACTTAATACCAGCAGTTTGTCCCTCTCACCATCACTGTGACCACCAAGGACTTTGGAAATCTACCTGGCATTATCTGTTCAAATCAGCATTTCCTATGACCAGTAATCTACTTCCAGTTATATACACATCAGAAATGAGTATATATATATATATATATATATGCATCAGAACTTTTGTTCAGGAATATTTGCAGAGCAATGCAAATTAAAACCACAATGGGATATCACCTGACACCTGTCAGGATGGCTACCATCAATAAATCAACACACAGTAAGTGCTGGTGAGGATGTGGAGGAAAAAGAACCCTCATGGACTGTCGGTGGGAACGCAGACTGGTGCAGCCACCACGGAAAAAAACAGTGTGGCATTTCCTCAGAAAATTAAAAATGGAACTGCCTTATGTCCCAGCGATATAACTTCTGGGAATACATCTGAAGAAACCTGAAACACTGATTCGAAAGAATGTGTGCTCCCCTATGTGTGCCCAATGCAGCACTACTGACAACAGCTAAGATTTGGAAGCAACCCAAGTGTCCATCAGTAGATGAGTGGAGGAAAAAGCTGTGGTCCATTTATCAGTGGAATACTACTCAGCCATAAAAGAGAAGGAAATCTTACCTTTTGGGACAGCATGGATGAGACCTAGAGGGTATTAAGCTAAGTGAAATAAGCCAGTCAGTGAAAGGCAAATACCATATGATTTCACTTATATGTGGAAGCTAATGAACAAAATAAACAAGGTAGAAACAGATTCATAGGTACAGAGAACAGACTGACAGATGTCAGAGGGGAGGGGAGCTAGAGGGCTGGGTGGAATAGGTGAAGGGATTAAGTAAAACAACAAACAAACCCTCATAGACACAGCAGCCTGGTTATTACCAGAGGTAAAGGGGGGTAGGGGCAGGTAGAAGAGGGCAAACGGGGATTAAATGGGTGATGGAAGGAGACCAGACTCAGGATGTGAATACAGTACAATATACAGATGATGTGTTACAGAGTTTTCCACTTGGAACCTATATATATATAATATTGTTAACCAGTGTAACCCCAATAAATTCAACAAAAAAGAACGTAGCAGCTTTTTAAATCCTTGCCTAAGGATATGTTTTTATGGATTTTAGAGATGGGCGAGGGTGTGCGGGAGGAGAGAAAGAGAGAGGGGGAGGGGAGAGAGGGAAATATCAATGGCTTGACTCCTGTATGTGCCCCGACCAGGGATCGAACCAGCAACCTTTTGGTGTGTGGGATGATGCTCCAACCAACTGAGCCACTCGGCCGGGGAGCAAAACTATTCTTCATAGTCCCAAGTGGAAATAATTCAAATGTACCCTCAACAATAGAATGGGTTTAAAAAATTGTGGCATAGTCACAGGAATAATACGCATATGAACAAACTGTTACTACAGAAACCATGGAAGACTCTCACAAACATAATGTCGAGTGACAGAGCCACACACAAACGAGTACATACTATGTAATTCTAAAAGTTCAAACACAGGCAAAATGAGTTTATAGTATTTGGCGTAATGCCTGGAGAGGGACTGAGATGCGTTCCTGTGGTACTGAGAGATTCCAGGTCTTGACTGGGTGAGGTTAACATGTGTGTTCATTTTGTGATAATTCATTCCCATCTGCAGGATGAGATTCATAAAGTGTATAGGGAGCGAAAAAAGTGAATGTAATGTTTAAAAAGTCAATCCCCTCCCTAGTTCTCCAGCCCTCCATTTCCTAGGAGAACAGCCCAGGAAAAACCAAACCTGAGAAACAAATTCCGTCTCAAACTTAAATCCTCAAACAGATCCGGGAGATTCAAATGTCCATGGCTCGGGGTAAAAGGCATTCCCAGATCTGTATAAGGTGATCACAAAAGTGACCGAGTCTTTTTGCTGCCCAGAGAAAGAGGGGGAGAAAACAAACAAACAAAAACACACTTAAGTTCCCAACCAACCTCCATCTCTGGAGCTCAGGAAATCACAGGGAAAACCTGCGGCCCAACTTAGGGGGCGGGACCAAGGCCCTAGCAACGGAGCGACCCCTTTGTTGCGTCCTAGCAACGCGCCACTCCCTCCGGCTGGCCAATTCTCCCCGCGTCTCCTCCCAGCTGGGGCTCACTCTCTCATTGGGCCTCAGTGGTGCGGGTGCGTGGACGCACGCGGCTTCTGGTGCCTTTCAGCTTTCCGGTTTCCTGTGGTGCAAGCCGCTAGGGAGAGCCGGAGCGCGGGGAGGGACAGCGAGGAAAACGTTTAAAAAACAAAATTTTCAATATTTGGTCATTTTTAAGGATTCTCTTATTTAAGGATCATCCAGATCTCCGAGGAGAGGGGACTGGAGCGTGGGAAGAATCACTTTTGAATGAGCTCCTATAAAGAAGGAAGAAAATAGACCCACTGAAGACCCAGCAAGGACCAGTTGAGGACTGGAGATGTTGGACACCATCCTCCCTTCCCTACAGGACCTGGGCAGGAACGTGTTGCCCACACTGCCCTTGCTGAGCCAGGAAGGTAAGCTACTTGAGGTGGGGGCCCTGGGGCTGAACCTTTATCTGCTTGAGGGCGGAAGTGGAAGGCCTTCCTCTATCCCCTTGGGTGGCCATGTCACCTTGTCAACCAGTTGGTAATCGCATCAAGCTCAGGCTGGATGCCCAGAGCCCATTTTATTGACTGCCTTAATGAAGGGCAGGGGCCAGCTGAGGGTCTTGATTAAAAAAGCTAAGGTATACATAGGGCTTAGCTCTAGGACTAGCACAAAGTAAGTGCTCAATAAATGTTAGCTTATCACAACCACCCGCAAATGGCTCCTTCTCAGAGTTCAGGCAAAAACACAGCTACTTTCATTGGCCTTGATATCTTGGGGTGATGTTAAGAAAGTGAAATGATCATAAAAAGAACTGGGTGTCTAGAAGAAGACCTAGCAGCTTTTCACAGAAAACTGACCAGGCTTGGTTAAAAGCATAGTTCTTAGAAGAGTCACCCCAACATGACACCGAAATCGAGCACCGAGACACAAGAGACAGGAGCCCTTGGGAAGAAAGGTGCCCCAGAAATGGAAGCTGCTGCTCCTATCGATCCATCGTAACCTAGAGATGTCGCCGGGTAAAGGCTCCGGGGAGACAAATAGATGAATAGCTGCATCTTCTTTCTCTTTCCTCTGCATCACTCCTATTTTCCCTGTTAAAAGAATTCTAAAAGAAGCATCAGACACAATGGTTTTAAGGGTTTGAAAAAATATTTGCCATATTTATAAGTTTATATATAATATATTTGCTCAAGTAATTTTTAGAATGTCTATGTGCTTCTTGGGCACTTGAGAATTGATGGTGAGCAAAGACCTTGCTTGGAATTTACAATCTACTGGGGAAAGATACGCATTCACCAAGTACAGAAATTAATATAAATTCACACTTAGTAACTAGTCACCAGTATTGGAGATGACTGCAAGGTCAGAGGTGAAAAACATGTTGCCGATTTTATCGACAAGAAGACCACTGATGACTTCAGCAAGAGCTTTGTTGGTTGAATGACAGAAGCAGAAATCAAATTACTGCTTATTAACTTTTTCCAATGACCCACGGTTAAGGAGATGGGGGTGAACTCCCAATGTCCGCAAAACACATAAGCTAACACATGTTTGTGTGAAGTTCTGCTGCTTCGGCGTGTTTTCCCAAAGTTTATGTTACGTAATTCTAGTATGTAGGAGGCCCCATCATCACCTCACAGGTGCTCACTGGGCGAAAGTGCTGAAGACCGCGAAAGAGGTCATCAGACAGGCAGCACACTGACCTCGCCACTGCATTGTGCTCTGGGAACATTTTATCTTTCACATTGCTCAGTAATAATTTGTTCTGTTTGTATATCAGCATTTTAATTTTATAAGATCTTTCATAAAGTTGGGAAACTTATTTTCATTTGTGATGTTAACATCTATTTCACGTATATCTATTCTGTGTGTTCATATTATTATATTATTCGCATATGTTCTTTTCTATAATGATTACGTAAGAGATACAGTATTCTTGCTACTCGGTACTGTGTTTAAAATATAGTTTTGAGGGCACAAACTTTACAAATGAATATAGACATTGTTTCCTTACAATAGTGATTCTTGGTATTTCAGTGTTTGATTAACATAACACCATTTTCCTTAAAATAATAGAGCAGCATATTATTTAATTTGCTTTTTAGAGTAGATTAAAATTATTTTTGTTTTGGGATTTAGGGATAACTTCCATGATCCTTTGGGATGTCAGAAATATCAAAGTTAGAACTCACAGTGTATAAAATTTCCAAATCTATTCCACTCCACTTGAACTGCAGTGCTGAAAACTACCTACAGGGAATGGTTTGCGTGTTTTCCTTTTTCTTCAGTGAGAAATAGCAAATTTCAGCTTAGAATAATAAATTCTGCTTTCATATAACATTGCTTATTAGTTTTGCAGAGTAAAACAATACAGTGGACTTGAATGTGTCATCCACATGAAGAAAGACTATTCTCAAATTTCCAATTAAGCTCCATCAAGTCTTTTGACTAGGGTCTGGTTGCAGACTATATAGTTTCTCCTAACCCTAATCAAATCATCTCCTTTTGGTGTCGATTGTTTTTCTGAAATTTGAACTGCCTATCAGGAGTCCAGGCGAAAGACTTAACAGTTTTGATCTTACTTTGCAAGGTCTCCATTTAAATCTGGGTACTGAGATTTTGGATTATTAATAAGTTAATGAGGTTTTTGGTCATCGTGATTTTAATTCAGTGTACAGTACACTTGGGGCTGGGTGAAAGACCTTAGTTCTTAGCAGCCAGCAGTAGAATTCTTTTGTCTGTGGGGGCGGGGAGTGGGGAAAATTATAGCATGGGAAGAACAGAGGAACTGTGTAAACTGTATATCCATGATTCGGAGTGAAGGGCAGAGTCTTGACATTCAGCTCACTGTACCATGCAGTCCTCGATTTCTTGATGAGTGAATGAGTTTCCATCACCCGAGTGGTTCCCAGATGCCCATGAAAGTTACTTCTCATTGCCTAACTTGTTCCTTCCTTGGCACATTAATAAAAATATTCATAAGCCTGATGTACTGGAATTAAAAGACTACAATTTCCCTGCTTTAGACAATAATTTAAACCACCAGAAAAAAAGTTATACCAATAAATCAAGCAACTCTCAAAGTGGGGAAATAATTGGTCTTTTGTTACCAATTTCATCTATGTCCTACAGTGGTAACCTGATAAATGTCACTGTTCTAGATCTTTAATCTGAGAATGAAATCACACTCTTTTGATTTGCAAAGCATTCCTGACTGAAGAGCATCTCTAATACACATGATTAGGCTTGGAATGGAGATGTCGACACAGACATAATTTTTTATACTCTAAATATTAGTTATACTCAGGGTATACCTTTATATCACACACCAACACTTTACTTATTGGCAACAACTCCTTTTTCTACCACAGTAAACACAGATCAGAACAAGAAAATAAATTAGAAGACCTCCTTCTGATCATTCAAAGCAGAGAGTGCAAAGTCTATGCGCTGATTCAGTGTAAAGCTAAAGCCCCTAGAGATCACTTCCCAAAGATCTGTTTTCAAAAATCATCATTTCAGACATCTTCCTATATCCTCTCAAACAAGCAACAGCCAGCCTTAGTGAGCCCCCAGCTCCTGTACCTCTGGCTAAGTGGCCACAGGCTCGGTACTAGCAGCAGCCATCTGCAAATTGCTTGGTAGCTCATGCTGGGTGGCCTCGCGTAGGTAGTGGCTGACCTTGAATTACAGTCCCTGGGAAACCTCAGAGTTTGCATACCCAGTTGACATTTACAGACCACATCAGAGCACTGCCACCCTGCCCCTACACAGCTGATTCTCCATGGAGGGTGGTGATTGGTGGTCAGGGGTTATAGCCAGGTCTTGCCACTGACTGGCCTGGATAAATCCCTTTCATTGGCTTGCCCACAGCAATCAAGGCTCAACTGCAAGAGAAGGGTGTATTCAGCCCAGCAAAAGGGTGCACCTCGAGGACCCTGCTTGGGTGATGGGGAGGATGTGCCACCGGGTGCTACAGGACACTTACTACATAAGACCATGTTACAAAGACAGGGAGTCATAGCAGCTCTACCTAATACATAGAAACAAACACAGGGAGACTGCCAAAGTGAGCAGACAAAGAAACCTGGCCCCAATGAAAGAATAGGTGAAAACTCCAGAAAAAGAACTAAATAAAATGGAGATGAGCAATCTATCAGATACAGAATTTGAATTCTGTTATAAGGATGAACACTGGTTATAAGGATGCTCAAGGAACTTAGGACTTCAACAGCATAAAAGAGATCCAGTCAGAAATGAAGGATACACTAATTAAAATAAAGAACAATTTACAGGGAATCAGCAGTAGACTGGATGAAGTCAAAGATCAAATCAGTGATAATGGAATGTAAGAAAACAAAAAACAACCAATCAGAACAAGAGAAAAAAGAATCCAAAAAAAAAAAAATGAGCATAGTGTAAGCAGCCTCTGGGACAACTTAAGTGATCCAACATTTGCATCATAGTGGTGCCAGAAGGAGAAGAGAAAGAACAAGAAATTGGAAATCTATTTGAAACAATAATGAAAAAAAAAACCATCTGTAATTTGGTGAAGGAAATAGACATGCAAGTCCCGGAAGCACAGAGAGCCCCAAACAATATGGATGCAAAGAGGCCCATTCCAAGATACATCATAATTAAAATTCCAAAGGTTAAAGATAAAGAGAGATTCTTAGAAGTGGCAAGAGAAAAGCAGTTAATTACCTACAGGGGAGTTCCCATAAGACTACCAGTCGATTTCTCAAAAGAAACTTTAAAGGCTAAAAGGGATTGGCAAGGAATATTCAAAATCATGGAAAGCAGGGACCTATAGCCAAGATTACTCTACCCAGCAAAGCTATTGTTTAGAATCAAAGGGCAGAGAAAGAGCTTCCCAGAGAAGAAAAAACTAAAGCAGTTCATCATCAGCAAACCATTATTATAAGAAATGTTAAAGGGAATTGTCTAAGAAAAAGAAGATCAAAACCAAGAACAATAAAATGGCAATAAACACATACTTATCAATAATTAAATAAAACAAACTAAGAAAATAATTTGAGAGAGTAAATCATGGATATGGGGAGCATTTTGATGGGTGCCAGAGGGGAGGTGGGTTTGGGGAATGGGTGAAGAGGAGAGGGGATTAAGAAGTACAAATAAGTAGTTACAGGATGTACATACAGTACAGTATAGGAAATGGAGTAGCCAAAGAAGTATCCATGAGTATCCATGACCCATGGACATGAACAATGGTGTGGGGATTGCCTGAGGGAGTGGAGAATACTAGGGGGAAAATTGGGATGACTGGAACAGCATAATTGATATAATATAAATTAAAATGTATTATTTTTAGCCATTATAATAGTATATTTGTTGAAATCAAGAACACAGCAGACCAGAAACAGTGAATCAGGACTGGGTAGGGAGCCTGCAGAGCACTGGTAGTAGAGAAAGTGACAGCTGGTCATCTAACACCAACAAGTGAGACTGGAGAGCTGAGTCAAGGACTAATTAAAAATAAAAGCATATAGACAGTTAATGTACAGACAACAGCCTGTCATGACTTAGTGGCCCTTGGCTTTATTCCCGTGTTATAGAATAGTGTAAGAATGATGTTCACATCAATCAGATGGTACAGAGAAGACACTTAATTGTTTGCTGAGTGGGTCATTAAGAAAAGGGTAGATTATGTTTGGTTAACTTTATAGCATAATGGGATATTTGTGACAGAGTTCCCTTTATTCTACAAAACTTTTCTGCAAAAATTAATTGTAATTATTACATATATATATTTAATCCCTACCAGAGTATATGTTTTTATTGATTTGAGAATGAGAGAGAGAGACATTGATGTGAGAGCAAAACCATTGATCTGTTGTCACCTGTGTGTGTCCCAACTGGGAACTGAACTGCAGCCTTTTGGTGTATGGGCTGATGGTCCACCAGCTGAGGTATCCGGCCAGGTCTATAGTTACTATGTTTTTAACCACATTTTTGGGAATTAAAGGAGTAAGCATTAGTTACTTGGAAAATTACTTTTGGAGAATGCCCTTGTTTTCTGTTAATTCTAAATTAATTGGGATTTTGTAGTAGCTACATTTTTATTTATTAGCACTAAGGTACTAACACATGGGTACTGAAGTAAATTATTCTTGGTTTGTTTTGAATTACAGAAGTCTCTACTATTTGGGAGCATGTATCAGAATTTGTGGAAAGACAGCTGTCTGTACACAAGGTAGGATTTATACTTTAAGTTTTTAAAGATTTTATTAATTTATTTTTAGACAGAAACGAAAGGGAGAGAAACATCAATGTGCAGTTGCCTCTTGTGTGTCCACTACTTGGGACCTGGCTCACAACCCAGGCATGTGCCCTGACTGGGAATCGGACTGGCTACCCTTTGGTTTGCAAGCTGGCACTCAATCCACTGAGTCACACCAGTCAAGGCTATACTTTAATTTTAATGTAGGAGTCCAGAGAATATTTTCACCTTGTTCTCATATAAGTTTGCTGGGAGCAGGACAGCAGACTTTAGAGCCACCCAGTTTAACTCTGTGTCTTATGATTTTATGCTGATCACACTTGGGACTTGTGGATATTTGTAAATTCTGCTCTTCTAGTGATACAAAGTATGTCGCTGATCAGCCTGTGTGTGTGGAGAGGAACTAGGTGAATTCCGTTTATTTGCTATCGCATAGTGTTGGTTTACCTCTAGAAGGATATGATAATGCTTTTTGTCTTGTCTCCTCATAGGGAATAGATTTTAATTGATGTATAAGAAGACAGGGACAAACCCAACTTGCCAAAAATGAGAGAAACTTTTCTCAGGGGTGGACTATTTCCTCCTGACAGATCTGGGGAGTTTGGAGGGAGCTGGCAGGTTGGGAAACTGTTACACCCTCCCCATAGGTCTCTATGTGACAGCCCTTAGGCTGAATTCCTCCTTCAAACTAAGTTTGTTTGGTCTGATCATTTGAATTAGTGATGACCACTTAAAATGTGGAGAGTTTATATAAAGTTTTGGGGTTTGTTTTCCTAAAAAATCAGGGTTCACAGTACTAGTTTTTTGTTTCTGTGTGTGACACTGGGCTGCAGCTGGCAATGGGCCCGCCCCCTCCACGGGTCGTACACTCTCTAGCCGCCACCTTCCCTGCCTGACTGCATATCTTCACCCACTCGCTTGCATCCTTTCTTGGTCCCTGAAGGCATCTGAGTTTGTAAACCTGGGTGTGTGACATTTCCAAGGAGACAGAGACCCAGTTTGAGAGGCCAAAGTGTTTCTTTCCACCAGCCAAGATCACTGCAGTGTAGTATATGCCTTGGCCCTGGGTTGTCTGATATTAGGTAAGGGACATAAAGTTTAAAAGAAGGAATGAGAAAGCAGCAATTCTCATGACCCTTTAAACTCTCTCCCTCCAATGGCAAATGATTAAAATTTAAAATGTGCCACAATTCAGGCTTTAGATATAGATTTAGGGCAGTTATAGCATCCATACAAATTTTCTTAGTCCTTACAGCCTTGGAAGGATGTGGAGATGAGGGATCTGATGTCAGACAAGCATCATGGATTGATATGTTTCATTTTACACTAAACTAGTGATGCTGTGGCTATAAAGCATTGTAGGGTTATAGAATGTATAAGGGCTAAGGTTAATTCTCTTCATGTTTTTCTGGATAACAGTAGTAAGGACTGTTTTTTCTTTACCCCTTCAGTAAATTGCTATTTTTTCCTTTCAGGGTGTTCAGATTCCAGGACTTGGAACTTTCACTTTCATGAGACAAAAACTTGAGGTGGGAAACAACAAGTTTCTTCTGTTTCAGAGGCCCATATTTATCATGGCAGAGAAGTTAGTACAGCTCCATGGACTGAAACAAAACAAAATATACACTCCTGGTAAATATATTTAATATTTAAGATTTTCCCAGTGGGTGATTGGCCTGGCAATGAGAATAGGGAGCAAAACTGGGTCCCTGGGGGTTTACTTTTCACTTGGTGCCTTTGGCAGAGGGAGGGGCTGTGGCAGGAACAGAATGCACAGTCTCTGGCAATCCATTGTGAGCCTCCGTAGCTTAAGAGGTAGGCTTGAGGAGACCCGATGTAGCATCAAAGCAAATTTATGTCAAAGCCATATCACAGTTTTGTATAGACTTTATTCCTATTTCAGACCCTAACGAATTAAACATGGTTATAAAGTAGAGAAGGTTAATTAGCATCTCTGGTTGGGAGAATTACAGTCAGTGTCAGTTGTGAAAAAGATTACTAACTGTGTATCTATCATATGTATAATCTAAATAAGTAAAATGTAAAAGTTAGAAGGTTAATGATTTCATAAAGAGTTAATAAACAACTTGTATACTTCTCACACCCCAAAATCTCCCTTCCTTCCTTCCTTCCTCCCTCCCTCCCTCCCTCCCTCCCTCCCTTCCTTCCTTCCTTTCTTCCTCTTTTCTGCTAACACTTACTGAGGACCACCTACGTGTCAGGCCTGGATCCAGGTGCCTGAGATACAGTGGTAAACAGATAGACGTGATGCCTGAAACAGAACACTTACCTTCTAGCCTCAGTGTGTGGGCTCCGTGACACCTGCCCTGGTGCCACAGCTTTAGGGAGCTTTCCTCCCTTATTTCTGGATTTGTTTGTTTTGATCATTCTTATCATCCCCTTCTGCATCAGACTCATTTTTGGATGAAGAGAGATAGTCTACCCGTAATGTCAGCAGGTGAAAACACTGAAACTCAACTTTACGTTAAGTTGCCTGAAAAATTTTAGGGTAACTTTTTACCAGAAAAATTATATATTGAAAAAAATACAGGGACTTCCGGCCAAGATGGAAGCATAGGTGGAAATACTGTACCTCCTTGCACAACCAAATTTAAGGACAACAAAGATTGAGAAACAAAAACACAACCAAAGCAGACAGAAAATTGAACTGTACCAAAGTCTGAATCATTCATCCAGACCAGTAAGGGGCAGAGTTGGCGGCGGGTGGAGAGGGGTCGTGGCAGGAAAAGGTGGTGGTTAGCAGACTGGGGGCAGGGACGAAATAAGCAGACTCAGGAAGGCTCACAAGGCGACTGACTGACCGCAGACACACATTTGCACACAGATAAACCAGGCAGGTTTAAAAACGGTCTGTGAGATAGACCGCACAACCCAGGGCTCCAGCACCAGGAAATAAAAACTAAAAGCACCAATTGGGAAAACTTTCATGGGTTGAGGTGCTGGGAGAGGCTCCCAGCCTCACAGGAGAGTTCATTGGAGAGACCCATAGGGTCCTACAACACGCAAAAGCCCACACACCTGGGAACCAGCACCAGAAGGGCCCAATTTGCTTGTGGGAAGTGGCAGAGGGGACCGAAATTCCAGAAAGAGAGGAACAAGTGCCATTGCTCCCTCTCTGACCCCGCCCCCACATACAGTGTCACAACTCAGCAACTGGGTTGACCCGCCCTGGTGAACACATAAGCCTCCACCCCTCATACATAATAGGCGCAAACAGACCAAAACATTATGGCTCAAGCAGAACAGCTCAAAGCCCCAGAGCCAATACTTCTAAGCAACAAAGAGATAGTCAACCTATCAGATGCACAGTTCAAAACACTGATGATCAGGATGCTTACAGAACTGGTTGGTTTTAGTCACAAATTAAATGAAAAAAATGAAGGCTACACTAAGTGAAATGAAGCAAAAAGCACAGGGAACCAATAGTGATGGAAAGGAAACTGGGACTCAAATCAAGGGAGTGGACCAGAAGGAAGAAAAAAATGACCAAACAGAACAGAATGAAGAAACAAGAATGCAAAAAAATGAGGAGAAGCTTAGGAACCTCCAGGATATCTTTTAAATGTTCCAACATCTGAATTATAGGGGTGCCAGAAGGGGAAGAGGAAGAGCAACAAGTGGAAAACTTATTTGAAGAAATAATGAAGGAGAACTTCCCCAATCTGGCAAAGGAAATAGACTTCCAGGAAATCCAGAAAGCTCAGAGAGTCCCAAAGAAGTTGGACCCAAGAAAAAACACACCAAGGCACATCATAATTACATTAGCCAAGATTAAAATGAAGGAGAGAATCCTAGAAGCAGCAAAAAATAAGAGGGCAGTCACCTACAAAGGACTGCCCATCAGACTGTCAGCTCATTTCTCAAAAGAGACCTAATGGGCAAGAAGGGGTTGGAAAGAAGTATTTCAAGTCATGAAATCCAAAGACCTACATCCAAGATTGCTCTATGCAGCAAAGCTTTCATTTAGAATGGAAGGGCAGATAAAGCACTTCTCAGATAAGGTCAAGTTCAAGGAGTTCATCATCACTAAGCCCTTATTATATGAAATGTTAAAGGGACTTACCTAAGAAAAAGAAGATAAAAAATATGAACAGTGAAAGGACAGCAAACTCACAGTTATAACAACCATACCTAAAACAAAAGTAAACTAAGAGGACAGCTAGATCAGGAGTGGAGCCACAGAAATGGAGATCATATGGAAAATTAGCAACAGGGGAGTGGGAGGAGGAGAGGTGGGGAGAAGGTAGAGAGAATAAGTAGCATAGATGGTAGGTAGAAAATAGACAGGGGGAGGGCAAGAATAGTATGGGAAATGTAGAAGCTAAAGAACTTATGACATGGACATAAACTAAAGGTGGGGAATGAGGGGGGTGTACAGGGTGGAGGGGAATGAAGCGGGGGAATGGGACAACTGTAATGGCATAATCAATAAAATATATTAAAAAAGAAAAAATACAAACTATACCTAGAATTCATTATACATATATTCAGTACAATGAGTTTGATGGACTTTTTAGTTGTGTTTGCCTATAGTTTTATGACAGAAAAAATATCCTAATTCACCAAAAATCTACAAAATGAAATAAAAAGAAGCCTATTTTTTGGCAAAAATATTTGTGCCTTAGAAGTTGAGCTTATTTTTGTCTTGTATCTTGTAATGTAGTCCAAAAAAGTAGTTGAGGTCTATAATAATCTTTTGCACAAGGTGGAGGAAATTTTAGAATTAATTATGTATGACTGAATTGGTTCACAAAAACTGTTGTATTTACAATTTAGCTTTGGGGTTATGATTTTTCATTAATTAACTAGGTTTCTAATCAAACATTACTGACATAGTCTCTGCTTTGTCAGTAACGACTCAGAATCTAGCATGGGAGATAGATACATGAGCAAATGATCCCAAATGGTTAAGTGCTGTAAGAGCAGCTTTGATCAGAATTGGATCAAAGGCTAGGATTGCCTAACCCTGCTTGGGGAGGTTTAAGAGGATGACATGTGAGGAGGTTTTAAAGGATGACAGGATTTTGCTGGTAGAGAAGCTGGGGGAGACAGTTCAGGAACAGTACAGACAATTCCAAAGTCCTTATTCAGGCCAGAGCGAGGGCTGTCAATGATAGTCTGTATGTCCCGGGCATATGATCGTGCAGGCAAGTGGAGGGAGGTAAAACAGAAATCGTTGGTAGGGGCCTTAAGCAGTGTGATAAAGGCTTTGGAATTCATTCTGTAGGCACTGAGGAGCCATTGAAAGTTTTTGGGCCAGGGCTTATCTGTACTGGTTCAGTTTTTAGTTTAGGAAGATAGCTCTTAAAATTACAGGAGTTTGGTATAGTATGGGGCAAGCCTGATGAAGGCAGTGGCACTCAGGGGGAAGAGGAAGGAATCTGCTCACGAGACATTTCAGATTAGAACTGATGGGGTTCGGTTACCAGTCAAAGTATTGGGTAGCAAGGGAAAGGAAGGTATTTAGGATGACTCAGATTTCTTGGAGAATAAGGGGGAAAGGCAGGTATTGGTGGCAAAGATAATAATGAGTTTGCTTTGGGGCAATTTGAGATTTCTATAGGGTTATTTAGGTAGAGATGATTCCAGAGCTCAGGAGGTGGGTGGAGACTAGAGATCAAGATTTGGATAAGTTTACCCATGAGAATTAAAGGAGAAAGGAAAGGAGAAAATCCTGTAAAATAAGCAAACCACTATAAGAAATAGAAGAGGAAGGAAGCCAGCAAAGGAAACCATGGAAAAGAAAAAGGAGACTCAAGAGAGGCACTATGGACACTGGAGAAGAGAGGCCATGGTTAACAGGAGTTGAAGTGAGGGCATGACAGTGAGATTTGCAGCATATCCAGTGGCGAGTTCTTCACCAGAGGACAGTGCCCCCACCCTGAGATAAGTACGCCAGGAGGCAGATTGCAGATAGGCTTTGGGCAAATGGGAGGGGAGAATCTAGAGGCAGATAATATAGCTTTCTCTTTTAAGAAATTTATTTTTAAAAATGAAATGGAAAGGAGATGGTATAGAATCACCATGAGTTGTGCAGGGGCCAGTACAGGGAAACGTGTGTCTTACAGAGTTGCCGATCGTCATTATCCAGCATGTTGGACATCAATGCTTGCTGAATGATTGTTTAGAATGTGATTTTGTCCCTTTATCAGTGGGCCTTGTTTACTGCCTGAGTTTGGATTTATCATGTCGATCTTGCTATTTAACCCCTTTTCTGACTTGTGGACCTTGCATAGCTCTATAACTGTTCTACCTGAGTAGAACTTTGCTTGCTTCAAGCCAGGTATACTCACATTCCTTTGCAATGTCATTTTTGGACTCATTAGAGAGGGAAAGCTTTCTGCAGGTTATCCTCTGATATGACCCAGTTTTGCTTGAAAGGTAACTTCTAGTGAAGATGATTATCTTTTCAAAACACTTAGTGTCTGTAAATATTTATAATCATTTAAAAATCGTATGATAAGTGGAAGAGAGAGACAAATGTTGTGGTAGCATGTCCTAAGATATAAGGGGGCTGAAAAATTCAGAAAACCCTCTGGTGAAGAGAAGCATTTCTTATTGGGTTGGCCAAAAAGTTCATTTTGTTTTTTCTATAAGATGGCTCTGGTAGTGCTTAGTTGTATTTAACTTCATTCAAAACAATTTTGTTAGATTGTATTTTGACAGCTGCCATATCAATATGCATTAAAAAAAAACTTATCAAAATTGGTGATTTTTTTGTGCAGCCATTTCAGTATTAAAGATGGAAGAAATATGCAACATTTTTTGCATATTATGTTTTATTATTTCCAGAAAGGTAAAAATGCAACTGAAATGCAAAAAAAAAAAAAAAAAGATATTTGTGTAGTATATGGGAGAAGGTGCTGTGACTGATTGAATGTGTCAAAAGTGGTTTGTGGAGTTTCATGCTGGAGATTTCTCACTGGACGATATTACATGGTGAGGTAGACCAGTTGAAGTTGATAGCAATGAAATCGAGACATTAATTAAGAACAATCAACATTCAACCATATGGGAGATAGCCAACATACTCAAAATATCCAAATCAGTAAAGTTACTGGTGAAAATGAAAATGTGTCTTTTATTTTATGGAAAAAATATAATGGACTTTTTGGCCAACGTATCCAAGAGAAACATACTGAGTATACGCAAACATACTCAAATGTACTGAGTGTAGTTTAGAAAACGAATTGTTCTTATTTTGAGCAAAAAACATTACATTTTTAGGAAAACTGTACTGATTAATATCTATCAATAATCAGTTGTCAGTTACATTGAGTACAACAAAAGGCTTCATATTGACAATTCTATTTTTGAGTATTGAGAATCACATAAGGATTTGTAAGTGGATGTGATTTGTTGTAATTCCCACTTCTGTCCCCCACCCCACTGTCTTTTTCTCCTCTAGGTGATATTCCAATTGTTCCACTTAATTTTGCCATGATATCCCTGGAGGGCTCATTTAACAGGGATACAGTGGAAGGATGTGTGAAGGAGACGTTGCTTTTTCTATCACGATCCATTTCCATCAAAAAAAATGTGGAGTTTATATTCAAAGGAATCGGGGTCCTCGTGATCAGAGACGGCAGGGTGAAGATGAGATTTTTGAAGGACTTCCTTCTTAAAATGGATAGAAGTGGGGCTTTGGCAAAAGCCCTAGCAAATGTAAATTGCTGTTTTCCTTCCTAACCTCTCTCCCCAATATAGCTCTGAATCATTCGTAAGTGTGTCTTTATTAAGGAAAATTCAGGTTGACATTTTAAATGGCAGTTACCCCAAGTGCAAAGAAGTGCTTATATATAGATGATAATAACTCTTTGATGAAAGGTTTAGAAGGGAAAATGAACTTTAAACTAAGTTTTGAGTCAATACCAACTGAAAAATATAAATTGTAATAGGCATTGTTATAATTGTGAACATTTCATAGTACTTTATAGCTTAAAAAGTTATTCCACATATATTATTTCATTTGAGTCTCAAAACTCAAATGAAAATAAAACTAGCATTTATCACCATCCTGATTTTACAAATAAGAAAAATGGGAGCTCAGACAAGTCTCTTGGGAAACCTGAAGATAGCATGCTGATAAGTAGTGAAACTGAAATTCAAGCCCAGAGTTTTTAATCACTCTTTTTTTCTGGTTGTATTATTTTGTTTTAATGAAAGTCTATAATAAAATTGGATTCAAGTCATGGGGATGGATCTTTAGCTTTTAATTTCCCATGCTGTAGAAAAAATTTTATAATTGACCCATCATTGTTAACCATTTAGTAGCTGGTGTGGTCTTCATGTTAAGTTGTAAATAGAGTCTAAAGAGTCAATGACATAGTCAACAGGACTAATTGAATAATGTGCTTTCTGCACACTATTGGTGTGAATGAATTGGATTATCACAAATATTAGGTAATCCTGTGTCCCCCTAGAGCAAAAGCCCAACTTTTAAATGCAAAAAATCTATAAAAGGAAAGGCTATAGATATGGTTTAAAATCTCCCTCTCATGGAGCATATTGAGGAGTTGGAGTTGTGCATAATGGGACTGTAGAGTTTCCCCTACAATTTGGCTTCATTCAGAGTTGTTAAGAGGGATGCCAAGCCTGTGTGTGGGAAGTGGACACACACAGCTATAACCCTCTCTTTTCCATAAAAATGCAAGGCAAGACCTGCAATATCAGAGGCAAGGCCAAAGCCCTGGCCCTTCTCTAACCTTCTACAGAACTTTGAGCTTTGAGATGTGTTTAAGAGAGGATGATGTTTTAATTGGCCTGCTGCACTCTTGAGACAGCATTTTAAAGGGGCATTTCCTAAAAGAACTGGTTCTGAGAGACATTCTCTGAAAGTGGCATTGGAGGCAAAAGCAGATGGGGAGCTGGCTGCCTACATCACTCTCATGGCCTGGCATGTTGAGGGATGTGAGGAGTCTCATTGGAAAGACACTACTTGAACTGCCTGAATGTATTTAATCATGGGACTTGAGGTTAACCCAACACTTGGTAACATCTCTAAAACACGCTTTGGGAGACTGCTGTGAAGTGGTGGGAGTGATGGTCTTTCCCCTCCAATCCTGTCCTGTTGTTTCACCCAAATACTGACCTGCAGAGTACGTCTCTGGGAAGCTGACTGCTTATTTCAGTGATGCTGCTTTTGTGCAAAACAGTTTTAAAACCTTGTTCTAGGAATTCCCTTCAAAGCCTTTTGGGAGTTATATCATTAGTCTAAAAAGACTAATTTTACATATTATTCAATTTTAGTATAATGTAATAGTGTGATTATTTTACAGTGTAATGATAATTAAAATAACTGCTATTTTTTTAGTGCTTTTACTATGTGCTGGCCACTTCCATAAAGTATCTCATAAAAATCCTGTAAATTAGATCCTATTATTATCCCCAGGTGGCTGGGTCTAACCTAGCTGCTCTCAGTGTGGGGATTTGAATATGAGTCCACCTGGACCCAAGCCCTTCTTTTCAAACCCAAAGCCCAGTTTTGGAGTTCTTTGGGTCAAGAGTGGATTTATCATTGTGCTCATTTTCCTGATAGTTTCAATAAGTTGGCTATCCTCTTAAAGATGTATCAAACTCTGAAGGCAACTTTCAAAGAGGAAATGGTTTGAGGAAAAGCAGCAATTGTTATGTGACTGTCCAGGGTGACTATTTTGATAACAGATCATGCCTCATTGGATTTTAAGCTCTAAACTTTAAGCACTAAATAAAAATAATAAAGATGATCCTAGTGGCCTTGCTCTGAGATACCCTGTAGCTTTGATTTGTCTGTGTCCTGGACCACAACTCAGGTGTCATCCTTTTCTGTCTCTGTCCCTCAGAGGCCTGGCACAATGGACTCCGTGTTATCTAGCACAGAGAACTTCAAGGAGCAGACTAACAATGTGCTTGCATTTCCAAGGTCAGTGTTTTGATCCACAGTCTCCTCCAGGTGCCGGCAATCCCTGCTGCTCTGTTCACTTCATTGGGCATTGTTTCCCAGCCTTTTGTAGTTCATGCTCTTTTTAGTAAATAGACTTACCTCAAGGGTGCAGTGGGGGTGAGTGTTACTGGTGGCTGCTGCTGGCTGATTACAGTAATGATAATGAATAATCATACTAGTTATCATCGATGAAGCCCTTCATCTATGCGGTTAGGAACTATTAAGCACTTTCTAAATATTATTGTATTTAATCTTCACTATATCCCTTTCAGATATGTATTATAATTTGATCCATTTGATAAAGGGTGAAAGTTAATTATAATTTTAATTTTTTTAACAAGTGTAGCAACGTGGTAAAATATTGAGAACGCTGGACTAAAACCCAAGTCAGGAGACTTGGGTTTTATTTCCATTTCGGCCAACACCCACTCATTGTGTGTTCTTAATCATGTTCTTAATTTCTGTGCCATTAACTGTTGTGCATTTCAGGTGGAGGAAGTTTAGAGAATAACAGCCAGCTTCTCAGAATATAATTTTCTCATTTTGTTTTGAGTCTGTGACATCTTATGTTTGCTGGGTTGGAGCAGCTTCCTCCTGGCAGGAGCAACACATACGGCAACAAAATCCATGTGAAGGCCTGAATGAGCCTTAGAGACTAGTTAGTCCAGTCCCCTCATCCTGCAGATGAAATGGCCACACAGCTAATGAATGGCCAAGCTGGAAAGCAAGCCCTGGCTCCTAACTGCCCCAGTGTTTTCTCTCCGTTGCACCATGTCCACCTCCTCATTAAAAATAAATCAATGGATCCAAAATAATTTTATGATTATATTTTTGAAGGCAAATTTGGTTGTCCCCTTGCATGTGTTTTGGATTATATTCCGGAAGGGAAATAATTACAGTGAGTCAAGGAAAATTAGAAATCCTAGAAGTGGACACAAGGACTGAAATACTCAAAACAGTTGGAGGTGTTTTATTGATTTGAAGCTTGGCTCCTGAATTTACTGGAAGCTCCCCCGCCCCCAAACATTAGCCCAACACTCCATACTGGAGACCAAAGAAAATCTACAACTACACACAGAGACTAAACAGACCCCTTCCCTCCTTGGGCCTCTGCAAGCCCCTCAGTTTTGCCTGGAGAAAGGAAGGAGAAGTGGGGAGAAGGAGGAAGGATGGATGTAATGGTTATTTCTGGGTACACGCTGCCTATCAGGCTATGAATCCTAGCCTTCAATCTATCCAACAACCACCTTTAACTGTACCATGCCTATGGGCATCTGGTTACAGTACTGGGAAGGGCAGGCAGATTCAAACTGAAATTAAAATAAAAAACTTAAATTCAGGCCTTCAAAGCAATTTATATAGAAACTGCTTTTGCGCCCTCAGTGTGGAGGAGGAAGGTTTTGGTCAGCTCCCAGACTTAGCCTCAAAGGGAATGAGTGAGTTGGTGATGTGTATTCAGCAAACCAAAACACTCACCTCCTTGAGAGAAGTGGGGTTATTTCAGCCCACTCAGCAAGCTAGCAGAGTTACTTGTCAGAACTGAGAGTTCACAGTCACCTATTCAGGCCCAGATGGACAAGTATCTTGGTTCATTCCTAGGATTGAGTTGAAAGAGATGGAGAACAAACTACCTATGAAGACCCTTGTAGAAGAAGGTGGAAAGAATAAACCAAGGAAGTGCAAGTTAAAAGACGGGACAGACAAAGAAGGTGTCAGAGGTACGCCAGTGGTGTAATCTGTCATTCTTCACCTCTCAATGAGCCTAGTAGCCATATTGCTTAAACTCTTATGCTCAAAGTAAATAAAGTTAGATTCATGAATAATCATATATTCTTCTCTCAAACATCTCCTACTCCTAGAGTCTGTATCTTCCCTTAACCACTTTATGACTCTCAGGCTCCTAGACTGTGATCTCTTTGCTGCCTCCGCATGCTCAACAGCTCAAAACTCACATGCTTCCCGGGTCCAGGCAGGTAACATAAATGTGTAAAATGAGTTGGACATAACATGATAGGGAGAGATGTTAGCTAAATAATCATTTTTATGAAAAATGACGAGTGGTAATTTTACATCTTTGATATCTGGTTTAATAGAAGGTGGTGGACTCTCATACCTGTGTTTTCATTGCATCCATTGTGATAGTTGTGTTGTTTGAAGCATGTGAAAAAAACGAGAACTTCCAAGACATTTCAAAAGGGTCCTGGCAACTGGTTGCCAGGCTACCGGTTGAAGACTTCTTTGCTCAGATTGTTGATTTGTGGAAATGTGAGCCAAGTGGTATCAATTTTTCTGATTTTTTAAGAGAGACAGAGATCCTAAAATCTATTGACTTTAAAGGTTGACAACTAATTGACCTTGAGCCAAAAAGGCTAATTGGACCAAATAAAACTCATCAATGGATGAGCACTGGCTTGCAGACGGTGGTTTTGTAACCCAGCCTATGGTGTGACATGCTTTCATTTCCTTAGCCTCATCTGTCAAGGTTCCCTATAGACTCCTTCTTTGAGCAAAATTGTCTATTCATGTTCTTCTAACGTGCTTTCCCCTTCCCTGACCTCATGCTTTTGTTCACTTTTTCCCTTTTCCTGGAGTGCCCTTCCTTTCCTTACAATCTGTCGCAGCCGGGCTCACCTCTTTTCCTCCTTTCACCCCCCCTTTCCTCCCTGAGCACTTATCTCATCACTGGATTCTGAAGTGGCTCCTGTCTTCCCTGAATATGTCAGACCCTTAAACACTATGCTGCTTGTTTGGAATTTAAACATTATGCATTATTGCCCTGAGTTGCTATTTATGCAATGCATATAAAGTACTTAGCACCGTTGGCATGTAGTGAGACCTCCACAAATGGGAGTTCTCATGCCCTTTGTTTATATCTTATTTTTTGTCTCCAACTATATCTACTGAAAGATCTTTAAGGGTGAAGACTTGCCTCTTGGTATTTCCTAAAGTGCCCAGTCTGTGCTTTGCATGTAATTACGATAGGGCAAAACCACATACAGGTTGGGGCAAAAGTAGGTTTACAGTTGTTCTTATGGAAAGTAATACAATGATTAATGATAATGAAAAAATAAACTCTGTGTTTTGTTATTCACAACTATAAGCCTACTTTTGCCCCATTCTGCATTTTTAAACCACACTAGGGTAAAGAACATAAGTTAAAGATAAGAAAGTATATCTTAGGTGAAAATTTTCCCTGGTAAAATTGTGAGTCAAAAAATCTGTGTTAAGTACAAAATACCGATTTAAAGTTGAAAGGAAACTCACTTATAATCATCCTACAGAGTACTTATCACCCAAGAAACTTCCAGATAGAAAAGTTGCCACCCCTGGCAAAGTGAGAAGCATCAACTTGCCGAACAAGTTTGAGCAAAGTGGGGGACAGGCGAAGAGTATGAACCCTGACAGGTAATGCGTTGGTGTTTTTTCTGTTACACTTTACTAAATACATTTTTGAATCACTTCTCGAGTCAGAGAATTTAAGTAAATGTTTATTCATTCCTTTATCCAGTATTCTTGAGTACATTCTATGTACTAGATGATGGGAATGATAGACGCAATCAGAGTTTATAATCCAGTGGGAAAGACAGACAATACCTAAAACAAACACCAGTGTTATGACACAGGTGGAAACAAGATGGCACAGAGGAGGGAATACCTAACTTGCCTTGTGGATTTGGAAAATTTTCCCTCGTTATTTTTTAAGGGCTTGGATATTATGATGTCCAAGTTCATATTTAGATAAAATTAGACAGCAGTTTTGCCATACATGGCTGGACTCACTAAATGCTCTTTGAGTAAATGAATATATTATAACTTATGATAGCTGCGTATTTTTCTTATGATCTCAAACAATTTCTATATCCTCCTTCTCCCTCTGAGTAGGATACTTTTTAAGACTTCAAATTAGTCAACTGTGCTCAAGTATTTATTGAGTGCTTTATGTACCTTGTACTGTGCTGTCAACTTTCAATTTATTAATATGTCACAATGTATCAGCTATCATGTGTGCAATTTATGTACTCTCTGAACTACTAAGTCTTGTGCAGACCCTCAGCATCCTTGTTTTAGATCTCACTGTTATGAAATATAATTGAGAATTAAATGCCTAGTACTTTGTGATTTAGTTCAATCCAACAAACACTGAGCACCACTGTGTGCTAGGCGGTTGGTAGACATGGACTAAACAGAGCTATAGGACATATAAAAGACATAAATGTACTCTAATGAAATTTATCGTCTTGTGGGGACTGATGCTAAAGAAAGAATGTATATGATGGAGACAACGAAAGAGGCTCAAGGAGGGGAAAGTAATCATTGGGGATTGTTAGTGAAGGTTTTCTATGGGAACTCACCAAAAATGATTTTTGTGCTGATTACTAAAGTGATGCATGTTTATCACAACATGTTCGAAAACAGTGAGAAAAGAGAGCGGTATAAAAAATGACCCATGATCTCACTGAATAGAGGAATCTTTGTTAATATTACTGTATATATTCTCCATTTTAATGCATATACAATATATGCATAGATTTCTATTTATAAAATAAACACCTGTTTTGAATAAGACTGAGATCACCTGAACCTTTGTTACACTTAACAATAAGAGGTTAAGCTCCTCATGGTTTTAACTGTTCCAGAACATCATCTCATTGGTTAAACCTTTTGTTTAACCAATCTCCTATTGGGTATTTAGATGAGTTTTAGTTTTTTAAAACGATGTTGTGATAAATATAATTACACATAATTCCGTGCACATACCTGAATATTGTATAGGATAAAAACTTTAAAGTGAAATTTCAGAGATAAGGGACAAGACCATTTTTTATGCCTTTGCTGAACATTACCAATTTTCCTCAATAAAATTGTACCAAATTAGAAGCAATAAAATGAGGGATGGCTGCCTCCCCTACAGCTTTGCTAATACTGGACATTTTACCCTCAGTTGCTCCCCATTCTCACCCGGGGCAAAAGCCAAAGGCATTTTTATGGCTTGCGGGATCCTGCCTGATCTCTGGTCCCCACCCCCCACCCCCCAGTTGCACTGAACACAGTCATGCCCCCACTTCAAGTACTTTGCCCTCATTCACTCAGCCTAGGATGCCATTCCTCCAGCACTGCGTGGCGCTTATCACCATCAAAAATACTGTGTAGTTCACTTATTTTTCTTGTTAATTGGCTGTCTGTCCATCCCCATCAGAAAGTTAATTCCACGAGGTGTGTGTGTGTTTTGTTCTTCCCTGCATCTCCCATGCTGAGCACAATGTACATAGTAAGCACTCAATAAATTGTTGTAGAGCAAATAAGTCTTATTCCCATTTTCCAGAATTTGTGGGTCTTTGCAAGACTACCCAGCTTGTGTAATATCAGTCAGCCTGTAAGCAAAAAATCTTGTCAAACCCACGCTTATCTGACACAAAGCATAGATTCTTAATCTCTACACCTATGGATGCTTTGAAGAAAACCACTGACGTATTTATTTTTTCTTTTATATTTACACTTGTTCTAAAATTATCATTGCTCTAGATGTCACACTGTATTAAATGTTAATTAATGTTGCATTGTTTTTATAGCTTATCTCCTTCAAGGTGTCTGAAAAATGGCAATGAAATGAAACCTCAAATCCCTCCAGCCACTGCTTGCCAGGATCATAAAAGGGCAGGGCAGGTAAAGTGTCTTCAAACAAACAAAACTTCTTCAGAGTCTTCCTCTGACCACCGTTTCTCAGGGAGAGTGCTGAGAATCTCTGTAATATAAGGCTACGGCTCCAGTATTCAGGACCTGAAACTGGACTGCGATAAATCTGTCTACTAGTCAAAATCGACTGGTTAACAGAAATGGCGGTGGGAAATATCTTTCTAATTTTAGTTGTTATAGATACTTCTGATCAAATGAAAATTCAGTCAATGCTGGTGCATACTTGAGGGACTCTCACTGCAAATCTCATCTTGCTAGTTATCATTAATGCATCCTTTTATAACATCTGCTTTTTTGATATGTCCAACCTTTGGAGAACTTGTGAAGGCAGAAAAGCAAAAGGTAAAACTTAATCTGTCCTACAATTTGGTATTGTAGGAGATGTGTTATGTGTGTTTGCAACGGGCACAACGGAATTCCCCGTTGTACTACAGTGAGGAGAGGAGGAAGAGAGATGTGGAGGATGAGCGGCTCATACAGCAGTATCAAATGTTGAAAGATCAAGAGACTTTCTTCAAACACCAGGTAATTCAACACCTTGATTAAAGAGTACTTAACAATGGACAGTAGAATATAATTATAAAACGCCATTTAAAATGTTCTCTCAGCCCTGAATAGTGTGGCTCAGTGGGTTGGGCATTGTCCCACAAACCAAGAGGTTGCTTGTTCAGTTCCCAGTCAGGGCACATGCCTGGGTTGCAGGCCAGGTCCCCAGTTGGGGGTGTGAGGTTGATGTTTCTCTTGTACATCAATGTTTCTCTCATAAATCAATGTTTCTCTCCCTCTCTTTCTCCCTCCTTTCTCCTCTCTGTAAAAATAAATAAAATCTTTTCTAAAAAGTTCTATCCTATGCCTGTATGGTAACATATTTAATCATTTATGTGCTACAGGACTAAAACTTAGATTTACTAATAATAAACAATACTGAGATGAATATTCAAGCCAAATAAGGATTCAGTTTTAAAGGTGTAGAATTCCTGAATTTATATGGCTTTATTTTTTTTTATTTTTGGTAGAATATAGTCCTAGTTCAAGGCTTTTTTCCCCCAAATTCATGGCCTATGCTAAGAAGCAAAGACAGAAAGGCGCCTTTGCATTTGCACTATCAATACTTGGTCTGTGGTTTCTAGTCATTGATGCTATTGCTGTTTCCTGCATTTGTGGTGTCAGGTAACCACTCAGGAAATCTCCCATCATCCTCGTGGTCCCTGTAGGGTGTTGCCTGAAGCCCAAGGACTAAAAATAAAAAGCCTTCCCCAACCCACTTTTGTAAATCTGTGAAGACATCAGTTTCTACCTTAGTTGGATTATTTTAATGTATGAGCATTAAATTTTTTAAAGGCTGTATTCTAATGTGTTATAATTTTTTTTTCTGCCCTGAAGCTGAGAAGTCTGGCTAGTAGAGAACAGAATCAAAAAAATGCTGCCTATAATCTGGGAGTTGCTGAAGCTATGAGAATCCACAAGAACGAGAAACCTGAATTTTATGTAAGGGTCTTTGCAGAATTTCTGTTGTGAATACTTGCCCCGCCTGTGAATTTTGGGTCCACTCTCTGTTGTCATCAAAAGAATGTCCAACTTATAGAAAAGTTTTGTAAAAGTTTATTAGGGCCAAAATTGTGAGGACATGCCTAGGGGCAAGATCAGAAAAGGCTGAGAAAATGCTTTGGGAGGAGGGCAATTTCACAGTTTATTTTATATATTAGAATCAAAGGAGAGAACATAAGGAAGATTACATGAAAGCCATTGGTGGTAGAAACTAATTGGCTTGGTTTCTACCACCCAAGGTGGTAGAAAGCATAGTGGGGAAATCTCTAGGACTAGTTAAAAAGCAAAATGGAGAAACGTGTGCTTCTTTTACATTGGTCCAAGATAATGGTTAACACTGACGGTACATACAGATGTTAGGCGGGGAGCAAGACAACAGTGCAGGGTTCAGTGGTCTTATGCTCTGGTACCGGTGCTTGTACTTTCAAGGGGTAAGAAAAGAAAATTACTGTGAAAATTTGAAGGTATGTTACTATAGACACATAAGAAAAACGGACAGAGCTCACTTAAGGTAGAGGTTGACCTTTGCCAGGGAAGCAATTGGTCTGGATCTCGACTACCCAGTTAGGAGTTTGGGATCAGACCATCCTGTGTGGTCACTTTTGGTCACTGAGTTTGTAAGGCCATCACGTGGCTCCTCTGAGCTTGTCAGGTTCAGTACATGGCCCCTTTTTCTTTCACACCACATTGCAGGTTGTGCTGGTTTTTAACGGGCAGAGGTAAAAAGGGGGTTGTGCGAGGTTGACGCTCCCTTCTTCCTTCTGGGGCAGGAGTGGTCCAGTGTCAGCCTCTGCACCACTCACATTCATGATACAGTTCCTACTAGTCACTATGGTGATCGCTATTGATAGAAATTCTCAACTGGGAGCTGGGGTGGGTGGCAGAGGACAGTGAACTGAAGTCCTGCCCCAGGAACAGGTGATCTAAATAAATAACCAGTGTAACCTGGGGGATTGGGTGAGTCTAGGGTCCCACCACAGACCCTCAGAATGGAAATGCACATTTGAATAAGATACTTAGGTGATCTATGGGGGCATTCAAGTTTGAGAAACGCAACTTCACATGGAGGTGGGCCACCGCTTTGCCACTGATGTAATGTTTTCGATCATTATGGGCCCACCTTTACATCTGCCCAAATTTCTCCTTTCACCCACTATCTAAGGTGGTAGTCTGACGTTCTGGACATCAATCTAACAAAATATATTTTCTTTAGTCATCATCTAACATTTATTACTGAATTTCTGTGTGCTTGCCACTGTACTCAGGGCTAGAAATAAAAAGATAAATAAGACAATGTTTCTGAACAAGGCTAGAGAAGATGAATGGGGTACAGACTTAATGAGACAGGAGCGTGGTATACTAAGCACTATGACAAGCCTTTGAATATAGCACTACGTGAGCAGAGAGGAGAGTTACTAAACCCAGAACAGAGATCCGGAAAGACCTTCATATATGGGAGTTAAGAAAAGACTTGAATGGAAGAGGAACTTACCAGGCAGGGGCTGCAGGGAAAGAGAGGGACAGAGAGCACTGTGCTTTTGAGATTGAGGCATGATCTCTCTTTCCTCTTAGATACACGTTCCAGATTATATTTATTACTGCTCCCTTAGTATTTCCTTGTTGATACATCTTTAGACATCTTAAATTGAAAATGACCAAAACAGAACTTTGGATTCCCTTTCCCAGCCTGTTCTCTCAGCTTTCCCATTTTAGTAAGTGGCATCACCAGGCAGAGAGCTGCACGCCCCTGATTCCAGATTCCTCTTCCTCTTCCCCCACATCCAAACTTCTGCGAGCCTGGTTGCTTTTACTCACAGTGTATCTAATATCTCTTCATCTTCAACGTTACCATCCTAGTCCCGGCCACATAATAAGGCTGAACTTCTGCAATACCCTCCCTAATTAGGCTTGCTGTTAGCCTTCTTGTCCTTCTATAGTCCATTTTCCACACAGCAGCCTTTCATAATGATTAACCAAAATATATCTAATGGCCTCCCACTGAATTAAAATAAAATGTAAACTTACCTTGACCTATTTGGTCCCACATGATATGGCCCCTGCCACCCTCTTTGGGCTCTTCCACTTCCACTTTCCCCTCACCCACCTATGCCTCAGCCACTTCTTTCTGCTTATTAAAACACGCCTTGCTTACTTCCATCCAGTGTCTTTGCATTTGCTTGTTCTACTGTATGGGACACACATCTCCTGATATTTGCAATGGTGTTGATTCAGTCATTTCCACCGAAAAGCTTTCCCTAATAAACAACTAATTTAACCCTACTCCCACCCAGTCGCTTGCTATGATAAGGGCTGCAAGCACTCATCACCTCCTTAGATTATTGATGTATTGTTTACTTGTTCACTGTCTGTCTGCTGCACAAGAGTGCAGCTCGATGCTAGCAAGGCTGTCTCTGCTTGGCCACCACGGAATCATCAGTGTCTGGAATGGCCAGGCCAGAGTGAGTGTTCCGTTCTCCCTCTCCCCACCTCTTCTCTGTCCTTGCTCATGCTTTGCACTCACTCAGAATCCCTTCTTCTTTCTGCCTCTGTGTTGTATGTACTAACTCAGGGCCTCCTCCATGAAGTCCTCCCTCACCTCCCTCTCTCAGAGAGTGGGCTCTGGTCAGTTCTGCTCAGGTTTAACCTTGAGCATGTCTATAGTATTCTGTGGGTTACCTTGTTACTAGCTGGTCACTGTGTTGAAGATTTATAAATATTACCAATTCATACATACTTCCTGATTATTTTGGTCTTCTCAATGATTACCTTTATATTTTGTTGCTTTTTGGTATTCTAGAATGAATAAATTGCTTCTCTTTCATTCTAGAAATCCTTCCTATTTGATAAACGGCCATTCAGTCCTGAGATGAAGGCTTTGAAGCAAGAGGAATATTTCCAAAGCCTCCTGAAACAGATGGATAACAGACGGAAGAAGGAACTAAACCAAAGAGAAAACAAAGAGTTGATGGAACGCCTGGAACAAGTGCAGCTCACAGAGGAGTGAGTCTAGCTAGACACACTCAGGAAAACGGGATTGCAATTTTCATGTGAAGCTTATTTTCACGTGGGATTGGATCAGCGCTGGCAGTTTTGCACAGCTGTAACCAGCTGAGCAAACTAACCCAGCTAGCAACGAGCACCACAGCATAGGATTTCACTAGAAAAATGAAAAACCCATTGCAATTATCATTACAATCATGATTGCCAACCTACAATTGCTTTCATTAGGGAGTCTTGTTTTGTATTGTTTCATGATCACCGATGCTGGAAGGGACTTGTCTTGAGCAGGGCATCTTTCCTAGCCATTCCCAGGTGATGTCAAGGCAAATCTGAGGTTTTCTGATGAGTATACAGGGATGTCCAGTGGAACCTGAGGGCGGGAATGTATGGGGAACTAAAAAGCCATGAAATAGAAGCTTTCTTTGTGCTCATGCCCACAGCTCCTTAAATGATTTTGTCTTTAATTATCTTCCACCTCAGACATGGATGTGTTCATCTCAATTCCAAAATTTCAGGGAAAAGAATCCCTGACTGGCCCTGTTTGGGTCATCAAGCATTTCTTAGGGGCCATGCTTAGCTGCCCGGAGGGCAAATCATTACCCAGAGGACAATTAAGAAGGCTACTCCAATGTGAGAGAGACTTCTAAACAAATAAAGCCAGTTTCTGTGACCAAAAAATTCTATTTCTATGAAATGCATATGTCCCATTGTACTCATTTTACAGCTCATTGAGTTCCCTGGAGGTGAATTATAATGTATAGCAGGAAAGATCCCTTCTCTTTAAGAGGAATCTTACGATGAATCATTTTATAAAGTAAATAGACACGTCCTGCTTTCCTGTCTAGATTTTGTTTTAAAGCACGGGGGGGGGGGGGAAGACTGCTGTCTTAGCAGCAGTGCATTTGTACAATACGCTCGGTCACCTCTGTACCTCTCATAGATGAATACCTGGAGTCTCCATTATACCTGAACCTGATTGTGTTCAGGTGTACTGAATGCAGTGTCCTGTGTTCAGTACATTGTCCAGTAGCCTGTGGATTTGAGTAACTATTTTCTTTCTTAAAGTGAAAGCTCCTGGAAGGAATACAACTTTTTGTTTATAAGGCTTTTGTTCCTATTAATACTTATTAGACATGGTTTGATCATGTTAATTTGTATGACTAAAGACTCAACAACAAACTTTGGCCCCACCCTCTCTTACCCTTAACTGCCAGACTTGCTGCACAAAGAGCCAAGTACATAAAAGATAAGATGGAAGAAACAGAGTGTTACAAGAGAGCTTTGAATGCACAGGTAAGGGAACAATTATTTTCAAAATTGTGCACTACTTCGATAGCATTCCAAAAATATGTATAAATACTGTAATGTGTTATCCACTTGGTGGTTCTGAGCCCCAGTGCCTTCCTATTAGGTATTGGTATTTCACTGTGCTTCAGCCTTGTGCGTAGTTTGTTCCCTGGTAGAACTGGAACCCGCATTATGTGTGTCCCTGTTTCAGATAAAGAACAAATTCCCCCAGCTGCCCATATTTGAGCCGGACTCTTCTGAGCCCATCTTTGGCAATAATGAGGATGAGCTGTTGATGGGAAAGCGAGAGCGAGAGCAGAATTGCATGAAGCACCAGCTGGAGACAGCTGCTAGCCGCAAGAGGAAGGCCATCCTGAACCAACTGGTCGACCAGAAGCGGGATCTGCAGATGCTTCAGAAGACACAAAAAGAGTAAGAGACCCCGGGTCATTCTTCCTCCTCCCCCTGCGCCCTACCTTCTCTCCCCATTCCCCCTTCTCTCTCTCTCCTTCTCATACTGCAGCAGAGAAGCACTAACAATAGTGAGCACATTGAGGAGTTACTATGTGCAGAATATTGTTCTAAGCTTATTATATGCTTCACCTTGTTTCATCCTCATAATTCACCCTATGAAGAAAAGTTATGAAATTTTAAAAAGCCTTAAATTCTCTTGATCCCATTTCTCTCTCCAGTTACCTCTTCATATTTTCCCTTCCTTTGTCAGTACAACATCTTGAAAGAGTTGTCCATACCAGCACAATCCTTTGGAAATGCATCGTGAGCCACAGGTGTGCTGTGGTACTCAAGTAGGCACAGGTGTGAGACGCGGACCCTTTCTCAACCTGCACTAAAGCCCCCTTCCTTCAAGGAGCTGTATGTGCAGTCAGCTGTACTGAGGATAGCTGGGGGTGGGGGTGAAGATGACAGGTCGGCAGAGGAGGACTCCATGCCATATCAATGTGAATACCTTTAAATTCAAACACAAGACACCTAGTTTCCGAAAAGGCCTAATGAGGCACTCTACCAATGGGAATTTTATACAATTATTAAAGTGCTCAGGAGTTCCAAAAGGGCTTTTCTTCAAAGGAATTTCCTTTTTGTAGAAGGCAGTTGTACTTAGAGAAAAAACAGTTATTTTATTAAAATTTTATAAATGATCAGTGGGACGGTGCAGAGACCTGTTACGTCTTATGCCAGGTAGGCTGAGACATGAAAACATGAGAACAGTAGGTTGAAGGTGGAGTGCACTGTGACAAGGGTGAGGCTGGGTTGTTGGGAGAGGTAAGGGTAGTTAAATGCACGGCTTTTAGAGTCAAGGCAGAGTGGGATAGTCTTGCATCCACCAAGGGCAGTACATATTTGTGTGTCTATACTATTTCTTCAAATATATTGCAATATTTTTATACTTCCTTAAAAGGAGCTGTTTCCTTGAGCCCCACAAGTGCCTCACCCTGCTGCCCAGGCTGCCCCAGCCCCTCCCAGGGGTCCCCCTTCCCCTCTCCTTGATCTTTCCTCTCATAGATGACTACCTGGAGTCTCCAAGACCACTTCCACTCTGATCAATAGATGTGGTTCTGCCATTTTACTAGTGGGATATTGGGCATGCTACACACCTCTGAGGCCATGGGTTTCCTTATCAGTCATTGGGGATAACACTAGATCTACCTCCAGGGTGTTTGAGGGTTAAATGAAATACTTTTTGGAAATGGCTTCCGTCTTACAGCTAACAGCCTTCTCTTGTTCCATGGTAGCTCTGCCCTTCCACACACGCTGTCACAGCCTGTCCGGGGGCCCTTTGCATTTGTTGCAGCGATCACTGCAGCTGCCAGCCCATGGCTTCTCTGGTTCATCTCCTAAACTTGGAGCTAGGAGACTAAACTCTGTCACTTTCAGGCTGTATGACTGGAGCCAAACCGCACACGAGTTCTTTGAGCCCTCTTTTCCTCACGTGAAAAATCAGGATAATCACCCCTGCCCTACCTGTCCTTACTATGAGGATTCAAAGAGACTGTGTACGTGGGAGCATTTTTGGAAACTGCAAAGCTCTGAACAAATATGAACTGTGGTCTTTATTTGATTACCTCTATGACCACAGCTAACTAGACTTTGTTTTCTGTGTGGGTCAGAGCCCATACAGACAAGGTTCTTTTCCGTATCCTTTGCTGGTTATTCCAGATTCTCCCACTTCTCTCATCTTTTCTAACTCCCTGCACTCTGATCCTTCTCAAGATGTGCTCTTAGGTCTTTGTACCACAAAAAAAGGCCATTTTCTTTCTGAGGGGATAACTTAGTCTGTCTAATTAGGCCTGCTATAGTATATTTTACTTGTTTCATTGTTTTTAAACTGGCTTCTCTCTTATTGTTTAAAAATAAAACAACTCACACTAATTAAAAGGTCAATTGGTACAGACATTAAAAAGCAGATTAGTAATTTCCCTTGCCTAAGTAGCCAGTATTAAGGTTACTATATAAATTTTTATACTTTTTCCTATTTCTTACAAATATATTAAAACAGTATACATAAATAAATTTAAATTTAAAAAAGTATGCACATATATTTTCTCCTCCATTTTTGTAAATGAAAATGAGACCTATGAACTCTTATATATTACAACCCAGTCTTTCTTTAGTCTTATAATATGTCATTAATTTATATTTATGTCAGTGCATATACATGAAATTCATTCTTATAGCTTAATAACAGAATAATATCTATAGTGTAAATTACTATACATTCACTTTTGCACTATTAATAAACACTCACTTTGTTTCCAGATACTTTGCTGTAACAATCTTTTTATTAAACATTGTAAATATATACTGGATATATATAAACTTTATACTTGTTTCTTGGTTTGTATTGGGTACATTCCGGAAAGTGAGATTGCTAGGTCAAGCATATGGAAGACTTTAAATATTACAAGGTCCTGACAGTTTGCTTCCTAAAAAGGTGCGGCAATTTGCTTCCACCAGCGGTTTTGTGGGCACACTGGCTGCCTCCCCTCTCATCCCGCTTCAGTTTCTCGCTTTCTAGGCCTCTACGCCTTGCTTTTTAGCCCATCAAAGATGACGTAATAATGGCCAGAAAGCGAATGGAAAGATGTTCAATGTCACCAGTCCTTAGGAAAATGCAAATCAGAACCACAGTGAGAGGGCAGCTCCGGAGCAGACGGCTTCCCCGTTCTGTGAACACTCTGCAGCGAGTCTCACCTGACCACCAGCTGATGTTGTTTGCGCTGTTTGAAGTAGAGGTTGTTTAGCATTTAACTATATTTCTGCCTTTCCCAAATAAGAGATAGTTCATGTTTCATTGAATATTTAACTTATGGGAACCCAGGATACAGCAATTCTTCACTCCAGTGACTAAACACAGCAAGGTGAGAAGGTGAGATTTAAAATATGTGTTTTATACTATTTAAAAATTTAATGTTGATCATATATATATCCTGGAGTGTCAACTCTATGGTGGTGTGAATGGAATAAGCACTGAGCAAATTGTTCACATTTCCCCCTGCAACTCATGGATGTAGATGTGCACAGTCTTGCTATTTAAGATATATATGTATGTCGGGATAATGTATACATATAAAATGGCTATCTTATTTTTCCTAGACTTCATGAGAGAAAACATTTATACATATAAATGTATTTAAATTAATACATTTAAATCATGTAATAATTTTTTTACAAATGCAAAGATAAAATGTTTTACTCTTTATCTTGAATCATTGTATCTATGGTTTGATTGCCTTGTGGAATATACAAATCAAGAACAATTATAGATTTTTCCTACAACCACACACACCATGAAAGATTTAACAAGTACTTCTTTTAAATTATTCAAAAAATGAGAAAGGAGGAAAATTATCTATTTAGTGGTAGACAGAACCATTACAATGCAAATATGTAAAGGGGAAACATAAAGAAAAATAAGACAAGGGGAGAGAGAGATAGAGGTAGATAGATAAATACAGAGAGAAAGAGAGAGAGAGAGGGACATGTTCTATCTCACACCCACAGTAGCCAACCATTAGGATGGCTACTATGAAAGACACCAGTAAATAGTAAGTGTTAGCAAGGGTGTGAAAAAATAGGAGCCTGTTGCATTGTTGTGGGAATTAAAAATGGTGCAGCCACCATGGAGAACAGTCTGATGGTTCCTTAAAAAGTTAAGAATAGAATTCCAATATGATTTAATCATTTTACTTCTGGATGCATAATCAGAACTGAAAGCAGGATCTTGAAGAGATATTTGCACACTCATGTTCATATCAGCATTGTTTGCAATAGCTGTGCAATGAAAGCCACCCAAATGTTCGACCACAGTTGAATAGATGAACAGAATGTGGTATACACACACAACAAAGTATTATTTAGCATTAAAAAAAAGAATAAAATTCCGACACATGCTACAACATGGGTAAACCTTGAGGACACTGTGGCTAAGTGAAATAAGCCAGTCACAAAAAGACAAACACGAGAAGATTTCACTTACATGTGGTATTTAGAGGAGTCAGATTCATGGAAACAAAGTAGAGCTGTGGCTGCCAGGGGCCAGCAGAGGGGAACAATAGGGAGATGTTCAGTGAGTATGTTGTTTCATTTTTATAAGGTGAGAAGAGTTCTAGCTGGTGGTTGTTCAACAGTGTCAATATACTTAGCACTATATATCTGTACATTTGGAAGTGGGTAAGATGCTCAATTTTGTTATGTGGTTTTTTTTACTACAACTAGATGATGAAAAGAAAAAAGGTTATAAAAATATATATAATAGGTACCATTCAGTCATTGAACTCCCATTGTGTGACAGGCATTAGCACTTCCTGCCATTATTTCATTTAATGTTTGTAAGGACTGCTTGGACTGATGCTTATTGGAGGAAAATGTGGCCATGCTGTTAGGAAAAGGGAGCCAGCAGAGAGCACATTACCGGTTTTTATTGAAGGGTCCTGACCCCTAGTGATGGTTGCTACCTGGAACACACAGCCCTTCAGGGCAGGCTAAATTGAGGGTCACAAAGGGCAAAGTCCCTCCTGGACTTCATTGGGAACTGGTGGTAAGAGTTTCAGCTGGGTGAGAAATAGGCACACACAAATAACTTGAACCAGGTTTCAGGTGATTCACAATAGCAGCGACTTCACCTTTGGAGACCAGAAATGGGAGCATTTAACATTGGAAATATTGGAACATTGTACTTCTTTGAAGTTACTTCAAAGCAGTTACTTCTTTGAAGATGCAACCTTCATCAAACACTCCTTTTTTGTTTGTTTTACCTTCTTTACAATGTTAGATATTTTCTCAATTCTGTTTTCTTTGGCCTAGTCACTGATGTTTCTTGTCTCCTTTGTACACCTGTCTACTTTGTCTTGGAAGATGCCAATAGCAACTGGCAGGCTAGCTACTGATAGCTGAGAGGTTGGAATAAAGGGAAAAAAAACATGAAGTGTCTGGAATCCATCTGAGATGATTCTTCAGAGCAGTTAAATTAGCCTCAAAGGAAATGAATAGCTTTAAAGGCTGAATTTACTAATTGGAAAAAGTTTTCAATTCTATCTTAAACCAGGATTGAAGATGAAAGATCCTAAACTCATAAATTATTTGAGAGCTAGGAGTTTCGCCATGTTTAAAATTTTTTTTTTTACACTGTTAGGCCTTTTAGTACATTTCAAAGACTAGCGAACAAAACCGGAAAGTTTTTGTTTAATTTGCCGTAAAAGGAATGGGACTCCCAAGGTTGGTGCACGCCCTTCCCAGTGTTGTGAATGGAATCCGGCTCTTCCGTTCTCCCCAGGCACCTGGCAGACAGAAATGCTGAGCTGGAGCGAGTGAACAGAATGAACCAGAGCTTACAGGAGGACTGGGAGCTGAGCGCCAAAATGAAGAGGCAGCGGGAACTGGAGGAGAAGGCTTTCGAGCGGTAATACCTGATTGGATCCAGAAGTTCTTTGCAAAGAAGTTCCCCTCTGCTCCTTGTGTGCTTTCCTCTAATTGTGGGGTGGCAAATAGGCTTCGAGTGCCACCTCCAGTGGATTAGTAGTGGCTGCCTAGAGAATTTTGTGGAGAAAAGAATTCTGGGTTTAGTGGGAAAAAGTACTCTGATGCCTGTTATGAATATGGGATTGGAGAGCACTGTTGTATTTTACATAGTTGCCATCTCTGCCCTCATCTTGCCTCTGCACAGGGTGTCTTTATTCTCCTTTTCATGGAGGGTGGGGAGGCATTGGGGGAGGAGGGCGGGAACTCTCTGTGGCAATAACTAGTTGGAAACCGGGAGACTGAATTTCCATCCGAACACACCTAAGGCTTACAGAATGCTCATTTAAGAGCAGAGTCAAGGGGTTGTGGGTAAGATTGGCAACTGGGAAAGTGAAAAACCCGTTATGGAACCAAGAGAAAACATCTTCCTGAAGTGTGTTATTATATGCCTGTTCCCTCTCTGCTGTGGTCTTTTTGCCATGGAGTCAGAGAATCTACTCACAGCTTTGAAAATTGACACTGACTTTGCAGAGGTAGCTAAGATTCTCTCATTGGTAAGATGGGGAAAGTACACACTTGCCTGACTTAGCTAACACTGGGGTTTGGGGGATCACATAAGGAGGTGGAAAAGTACAACTCAAAACAATTAAAACACTTTACAAATGTAAGGTGTGAGTTCTTAAACTGTTACATGCCTGAAAAACCAGATCAAGCCTATGCAATCAAATGTTATAAAAACCTGAATGTACCAAAATAATATTTAAAATCCCAATGATCAACTAAATGTCTACCACAAGTAAAATTTGTTCTAATGGATCTTGATCTGTATCTCACCCTTTCCTTTTAGATTTTCTTTGAAGGCATTTTTTTTGATGTCTTCGTAATGGGTGGAATCTATATTTTGTGACAAAGAGAACAGGAGGGATGATGTGGAAAATAGGTTCTGAGGGGGAAGTGGGATTGTTCGGTTGTTTGGGAGAGGACGGGAAAAGGGAGTCTGAGATTTCCAGCCATTTCCTCAGTGTCAGGGAAAGCAGATAAAAGGCAGAGAGACTAGTGATTGGAGGGTTTTAGCTGGGTTTTGGAAGAGTGCTTGGCCAACATGGAGACCGAGGAGAATGCAGACGCAGGAACTGACCTGGCGGGGCAGGAGAACACAGCCGCTCCCAGGCCACAGCTGAGCAGACCTGTTCCCTGAGGACCTAGGCCAGGTCGTGGGCAGGGACTCCAGCAGGCAGTGGGCAGAAAGAAGGGATTGGTGGGTTTTAAAGAGAAAACAAAGCAAAAGCAAAAACAAGGTTCAGAGGTCTGCACTTAGCACACGATTCTCCGTACTATTGCCCAGGTGAGCCAGGCAGGTCTTTCCACGCCTGCTGCCAAGATGGTTCTCTCTCACTTTAAGGCTGTGTTTGATGCTGCTTTTTACAGGATTCTGCCCATGTAGAATTTAGCTGGGGTAGCAGGCACTGTCCTGCATAATCAAAACAATTACTGAAGTGGAAAACCAGTCAGTTCCATCCCTTCCTCTCTGTTTCGAGCCTCCCTTGCCTTCTCCCTTTGTCTCCATTCCCTTCACCTGCTCATAACTCTCCAGAGGCCTCTGGCCTCCTGAGACTTTCACTGAAGTCTTAACGGTCTGCTGGGGTGTTAACTGTTAACCAGCACTTTGATGGCCTGATCTCCCTCTCAGATTCTCTCTCGGGAGCCTGCCAGGTAAAGGTGCAGCCACATGGCCAAGCAGCAAACACAGAGTCTTTGGAGCTTGGCTGTTCTGTGTTCTCCGAGGCTTTCAGTGGGTGTGGTTGGGTAGAGGGCTGAGTCAGTGCTGTGAAAGCAGCGAGTCCAAACCCTTTATTCACTGGGGAATGAGGAGGTATCAGAGGTTTGGAAGCAGGAGATGCCAGGCTGGGATGAGCTGCAGGTTAGCAGCCTGGAGGGGGAGAGACTGCGGGTGGGAGATGACAGGCGGGTGGTAGGCTTCTGGAGGGCAAGAGCCAGGCGTTACTTTCCTTTTGTATCCCTTCCACTGCACCGGCTTCCTGGCTAGCCCCCAGCAGGGATGCAGGGACCGCCTACTAATGGCTGCTTCTGCTCTTCTTTCCTCAGGGCCTCAGACAAGCTCTTCCTCCTGGACCAGTGTGAGAAGTACCGGCGCTGCAGGCAGTGCCAGCGCTGCATCTCCAACACGGGCCAGAGCAACCTGTGGCCAGTGAACAAGCAGCTCTGTGGCTCCCGGTTGTTTGTGTAAAACCCAAAGTTTGGACCTGTGTTTCCTGGCAGGACTTTTTATGTTTTTAATGTTTGAAAAAATACGTCGTGCAGTTTCGGTGCTTTCGGGAGTAGCTTGCTTTTAACCACTTACTGAAATCGCGTAGACAGGACTCCTGTCTTCCTCCCAACCTCATAGAACTCTGCCAGGCCACGAGCTGGGGATGGGACCCAGCTCCGCCCCGGCCATGGCAGTGCTGCCGATCCAGCCCTGCCGCTCCCTCCGCGACTTTGTGTAAAACACTGTATCCTTTCTTCATCTGTAATGAATAACGTCATAATAAATATCTTCTACCCTCCTGACTGTGTATAACAGTTCGTATTGGGAAATTTTACCATTCCTCCTTCCAGCCCTCGATTTTTCCAGAGGACGGGGTGTGTGTGAATATCCCAGAAGTAGGTTAGGCTATCCGTCAGGTGATCGGAGTATGCTTCCTGAGTTTTCTGGTTGATGAACACACCTGGGGCTTTGCGGGGACCTTAGGGGACAATATTCCCTTGGACCTTCTGATTAGCGTTGCATTGTCCAGCCATTTCTGCAGCACGATTGTAGGTTTATTGCTGGGGTGAGTGTGTACTGAGAGGGGCGTCTGGCTGGCCTGCCTGCTGCCACCTTCTCTCCTGGCTTCACTTGCACCATCTTAAACTGTGCGCCCCGGGGAAGAGGACTCTTTTCCTGTGAAAGGACCCATTTTCAGGGATGGCATGGGTGTTGGCAACCAAACTCTTTTTTCAAAAAAAGTTTTTATCTTCACTTTTTAGCTTTCCTCTCTCTGCCCATCCTAACCACCTCAGGTAAAACAATGAGCAAGGCAGAGTGAAGTCTTAGATTTCTGAACTACAAACTAAGAAGTCCCTTTTACTATTTGCTTTCTATCTGCCACATCTTTCTTAGCAAACGGGAAAATATACGTGGGGAGACTTCTGAAACATTGTTTTTCTTACTACAAGTACAAACTAGGAATATTTTGAGCTCTAGACAGTTAAGGGGAAGGTATTTACTCAAACTGATCTTGGACACATTTTGTTGCTAATGTTCTCTTTTTCTGCAGGAGCATGCTTGCGGGTGACTGGAATCGTCTGGACCTTTCCCTCCACGCTTCCAACAACACTGCCGCTTCCTTCCATCTCCTCAGAAGGTCACCCCACGCAGGTTCAGTGATGGCCAACCAGTGATGTGTCCACGCCTGCTATGTATACTCTTGGAGTATGTCTTTGTCTCTCATATATAATAAATTACTGAAAGAATGGTGCATTAATATTTACTTATTTATATTTATGACAGAAGGGGAGGGGAGGGAGAAAGAGAGGGAGATAAATATCAATGCGTGGTTGCCTCTCACACGCCCCACACCGGGGACCTGGCCTGCAACCCAGGCACGTGCCCTGACTGGGAATCTAACCAGTGACCCTTTGGTTCACAGGCTGGCACTCAATCCACTGAGCCACACCAGCCAGGGTGCATTAATTTTTTTTTAAGTAGACCTCCTTATTATTAAAGAAAAAAAGACTTCAGGCAATTCTGATATGTTTAGGTGAAAAGATTTAACTTCATACATATTTTCTATTGTAAGAACTGCACTTAAAATTAATCATCTTTGGTAGTATTACTGACTCTTTTTTTTTAAAGATTTTATTTATCTTTAGAGGGGAAGGGAAGGACAGAGGGAAAGAAATATCAATGTATGGTTGCCTCTTGTGTGTCCCCTGCTGGGAACTGGCCTGCAACCCAGGCATGTGCCCTGACTGGGAATCAAATCGTGGTTGTTTGGTTCCCAGGCCCGCGCTCAATCCACTGAGCTACACCAGCCAGGGCATATTGCTGACTCTTAATGTGTGCCTAGCACCAAGCTGATTTGGGGTGACCCAGAGGTTAGGATGTGCTCAGTCCTCGCCTGTCTTCGGAGCATTCACTATGTAGTGCAGAGGTGAGATGTGACTAGGAAATCTTCACTGACCGTGGTGAGTACCTAGCAGTGTTGATATGGAAGAGCATAGTGGAGCTCTTGCAGCCAGTTTCTCCTGGCATGGAGAGAGAAAGTTTTTGGAGGAGATGAGGCCTAAGCTGAATTTTTAGGGATCAATAGGAAATAGGTGAAGAGTAACGAGGGGTCATGGTGAGTGATGTCAAGGTCCTGTGCCTCTCTCTGTCAAGGTTGAGATAAAGACCTGGTTATGGGAGTGAGGTTATGAAGCCCAATACAGTTTTTACTTTTTAACCATTTTAAGATTCCAACTTTATTATAGTCCATTAAAACAGTTCGTTTCTTACAATAAAGAATGAACACCCTTTTTTTTAAACAAGTTTTTATAATTTGGTATCTTCACCGATCTTAATTGGTAACTGCTAATCTTTGTATTAGACTCAGATTAGAATCTTTTTGTAAATTAATTTGAATTATCATTAGGTTCTGTCATTTCCAAAACTATGGTACTGCAAACTAGCGTAATGTGTCAAAAGACTGCCAATTTCAGTAGTTTTTAATGTTTTGGAAAGTCCTGGGCTCTTTTGAGAATCTGATGGAATATATGTGCCTTTTCTAAAATATGTACATTTTCATACACAACATTTTGCATGCAACTCAAAGTTTTCTAGACCACCTGAATCACAGGTTAAGGACTCCAGCTTTAGGCAGCTTTTCTTCACTCTATTACAAGCTTAAGCTATCACAAGCGAGCAAAGTGAATGACTTTGCTTTTGAAATGTGCTTTCAGTTCCAGAGAACTATATTCCTTTTGTCTTCCTCTTTGAATCTTCATAAGGGTAGTTTGGTGAGAGTTGGAATGGCTATTTGAAAGCCCATACACCAGTATTTTTCAAACTTTTTAAATGTCAGTAAAAAATATATTTCATATTGCAACACAAAAACCTATGCTCACACATACAACTGAAGCAAAAGTTTTAGTTATACTTACCCCAGCCATCTGCAATGCATTCCGATATTTTCTATTTTATTTCATGAAAAATTGAGATTAGACTAAACAAAATTGATTTAATAATCCGCAAATGTAAATAGCCAGTTTTTAGTTTTATAAACACAGTTTTAGTCTAATTCTACCTTCCACTATGCTCTCATTTGTAGTTTGCTGGGATTCATTAGCAGTTAACATTGTGTTGTAATGGTATTCAGCTATGAGACTGGCAAATGATTAGGTCCTGGCTTGCTATAACCAGACCGCCTTTGAGGTATCCCAGAAAAAGCAGGAAGCTATTCCCCCCCCCCACACACACACACCCCAAGGCTAAGTCTCAGAACTTCTGCTCCTAGTACGTACGAGGACCAGACAGAAAGGAGCCAGAGATAGAAAAAGTGGAAATGTGCCTGAATGCCCAGGCTACAGCCTGGGAGAGGCCTAGGAAATCCAAAGAAATGCTAACTAGGTGCAGCCTTTGTCTTAATTTGCTCGTTGTAGGCAGAAGAGGAAGAAGTGGATTATACCCGGGGCTGCTTGAACAGCGTGCAGATCGGCTCTGTACACAGGCACTCTGCTCCCAGTTTCCTATGGCTGCTTAACAAATGACCACAAAGCTAGCTGCTTAAAACGACATACATTTATTCTTGCATTTCTGGAGGCCAGAAATCTAGTTCCAGAAATCCAAAAATGTCACTGGGCTAAAGTCAAGGTGTCGACAGGGTGGGTTTCTTCTGAAGACTCTAAGGGGAGAATCCTTGTCTCTTTGCCTTTCCCAGCTTCCAGAGCCAGTCTTTACATTCTATTGGGAAGAGATTGTGTAGATAGAATTGGTATTGTTTTTTCTTGAATACTTGGTAGAATTCACTAATGAAACCGTCCAGGCCTGGAGTTCTCTTGCTTGGGAGGTGTTAAAGGATGGATTCAGGTTTGGTAGGGTGCACCAGAGAATTTCAACTACCGTTGAGCTTATGGCCCTGCAGTTGTTAGTAGAATTTCCTTTTATCCTTTTAATGTCTGTGGGTCATGGTGGAATGCCCTTTTTGAGTCTCAATGTTAGCATTTTTTGTCTCTTTTTCTTGGGTCTGGCTAAAAGTTTAAAAAAATATGTATTGGTCTTTTCAAAGAACCAGCTGTTGGTTCCATTATTTTTTCTCTATTCATATTTTTCTCAATGTGATTGATTTCTGTTATTTTCTTTTTTTTTTTTCACTTGCTTAGTCTGTGTCTGTGATAAAGACATCATTTATATTGGATCGGCCCACACTATGACCTCATTGCAACTTTCTTTAAAGACATATAGTCACTTTTCAGGTATTGGGGGTTAGGACTTCAACACAGGAACTTTGAGGGGCTACAATTTGGCCCATAACAGTGGCAACAGGATCATTTTTAGTATCCATTTATCTGAGAATGTTTTTATTTTGCCTTTGTTCCTGAAGGGCATTTTTACTGGAAATAGCATTGTGAATGGACAGTTCTTTTCTGTCAGCATTATAAACGTATTATTCGATTATTTCTTGTTCCATGGTTTCTATTTAGTTTTCATTTTATTTTATTTTTTGGTTCCATGGTTGCTGATGAAACATTCAGTCATTAGAATCATTGTGTTCCTATATGTAATGTGTTATTTTTATTTGGCTGCTTTCAAGATTTCCTTTTTTATTTTTGGCTTTCAGCAATTTGATTATGATGTATGTTTAATGGGGACTGTTTTTTATTTATTATTTTTGTATATGTGTTTAATGGGGACTGCTTTTGATTTATTATTCTAAGAAGAAACCCACCCTGTTGGGCTTAATGAAATTTCTTAAATCTTTAAATTTATGTCTTTCACCAAATTTGGGAAGGTTTGGGGCTCTATTCAAGTATTTGGTCTGCACCAATAGCTCTCTCTTCTCCTTTTGGGACTCCAGTGAAATGCATGTTAAACCTTTGATATAGTCCCATGGGTCTCTGAGGCTTTATTCATTATTATACTCACACTTTTCCTCTGTTTTTCAGATAGGATAATTTCTATTAATTTTCAAATTTACTGATTCTGTCCTCCATCATCTATGTTTCTGTTATGAACCTATCCAGTGAAGTTTGCATTATATATTTTTTTGTTCTAAAATTTTAATTTGCTTTCTATTTAAAAAAAATATTTTACTTTTAGAGAGGGGGAAGGGAGGGAGAAAGAAAGGGAGAGAAACATCAGTGTGTGGTTGCCTCTTGTGAACATAGTTGATATATAGAGATAAAAGAAGATACTTTGTTTTTGTTTTTTTTGTCTTTTTAAAAAAATTTTATTGATTATGCCATTACATTTGTTCTATTCCCCCCTCCACCCTGCATGCCCCTCCCCCACCATTCCCCCCCTTTAGTTCATGA